TAGAAAATTTTAACATTCAACTTTTTTTTGCAATCTAATCAAAAAAATACCTATAAAATGTCAGTATTTTAAGCCACACAATGTACTAAGCTTTTGTTGTTATTTGTATGATCTTAGGAATTAAATTCAGAGGCCTTCTGCCTTTTAACTACATTTCCAGCCATTTCTATTTTTGTATTCTTTTATTTATGTATTTATTTTAAATGTATTTGGTACAGGGTCTCACGACGCAACTTGGACTTATAGTGATCCTCCTGTTTTCAGCCTCCACGGTGCTGGGATTACAGGCCAGATTCAGTGGTGACTGACTTAAGGGACAGTGCAGCAAGCCAAACCCTCTGTCCTCAGCCTGTTCATCTGCTTGCCACTGTGCCCAGGGGTGGGGACAGTGCAGCATGTGGTGCTAGGGATCAAACCGCTAAGCTTGCCTACAAAGGCACTTAGTCTGCTAAGCTATCTCACCAGCCCTCATTTTTATTTTTATTATGAGATAGGACTTGCTGAATTTCCTGGGATGATCTTGAATTTGCGATCCTCCTGCCTTTGCTTCGAGAGTCGCTGAGATCCCAGGCATGCACCACTGTGCCTTTCTCTGTGATAAGTTCTGATGAGGCAAATATGCAGTCTGGCTGAATCAGGTGCAGGTACTGATGTAGGGCCTTGGAAGACTCCTTACAGAGCCCACCTAGTCTACAGCAGGTCCTCTAACTTTACAGTTTATTTTGTCCATTACATTTTCCAACTGCTCTATCAGCTTGCAGAGGGCAGGAACTGTGTGTCCTCCACACATGGGACAAAGCAACAAAGTTGCCAAGCCAAACTCTCTGCCTTCAGTCTGTTCACCTGCTTGCCATTCCACCTCTGACTTTTCTGCTCTCTTTACTTACCATAGAGCAAGAGAGATTCTGGGTCCAGGCCCAGCCCCGCACAGCTAGGTTCACTCTGATCGTGGAAGTCCTGCAGCAAGATCCCCAGCACCAACTCCTCACTCATCATGTACTTCATAAAACTGTCATCCTCCATTGGAACCCCAAACTGCAGGTGATAAGTGACTGTGGAATTTTCACCACTGCAAGTCAGACCAGAGACATTACCATCTATTGACAAAACCACACTGAATGTCAGGAAATTGATTGTAACAATAGCATTTGTTTACTGCACATTTTCTGTCTTGAATCTTCCACTGCAGCCCACCATATAGCCTCCTCCCTCCCCTTTAGGAGTCCAGTAGGAAAGACATGGGGGGGGACATAATCTAGCTACTATCAAAGAAGGTCACCTATATGAACCCTGCCACTCATCCTGTTCTCAAAGAAGCTCCCCCTCCAAGTGTACATCAAAGCTACTCAGTTTAACCAGTTCCCTATGCAATCTATAAAATGGTTCATGAGAGGCTCCAAAATGCCCTACCATTGGCTGGGTGATAATTTCTGGATCCCTGAGACTGTGTACTGGCTGTGAATCATACTTCCTGTGTTTGTTTTCAAAGTAGGAAGCTTTTCCGTCCCATTTCCAGTTCCAGATGACCAACTGGATGACCAACATCTTTAACTGTCAATAAGAGGACCCCAGAAACACTAACTCTGAGGAAACCCTAACCTTCCTTCTTAGAAGGTATGGGTTTTTTGTTTTTTTTTTTTTCCTTTTTAGAGTAAAAATAATCAAAGATATGTCCTTAGATATTTAAAATCTTACGGTGTTCTTTAAATGCTACCTCAACATTGAGGATTGCTTTGGTTCAAGATGATTAAGAATCAACAGTAAAATAACTGACAGGAAGTCTCAGCTGAGACCATCATGCTGAGGCAAGGTTGATGGATTTTCTGTTCCCCTCAGCAGTGAAGCAGGCTATAGTCTCTGCTAAGTAAAGCTGAAGAGTTCCCTCTTGTGGCCATAGGCCACATAAGCCAACAATCACATTTTACTCTGGTTAACAATTCCATCTACTACAGCCAAGAAACATGTCAAACTCTTTGGATAAAAAGAATAATATAGATTTGAGACCCTGAAGAAATACACAGATTCAAAGATTCTACTAAAGGCAAACTAAAAAAAAAAAAAAAAAAAAAAAAAA